ACTCCAGAAAATTTCTCTCTCTTTTGTATTTCGATGAGAGCAGTACCCAGCCCTCTCCAGTAAGGATCGATGCATCAGGATTATAACGAACTAGGTCTGGTTTTTCTGTTCTTTGACACTGCAGTGGCATATTGTTGCTCGCATCGACGACATGATGAAGCTCGAATTAACAATTCCCCTCACAACACTCAGTACCCGTCTACTATTCTATGTCAAATGCGATGGTCGAAAAAATATATCCGAAGAGAGAGACGCTCCCGGAACAGATGGGGGTGGGTAGTATGGATCCCAGAATGTGTCCCCTGCTCAATCTTGCAGTATACATCGAGGCAACGGTGAATGTGGCAAGATCTTCTTTCTTATTTGGAAATCCAAACGATAAAGATCGAGTGGTGAGGCGTTTTCTAGCTGATACAATTAAAAAATCGGAATTTAAGTCGTTGAAGACGGGAAAGCTGGGAACGCACAGCTTCCGTAAAGGTGCTGCTACTTATGCGACTCGTAGTGGTGTATCTAAAGACTTTGTCAATCGGCGAGGACGGTGGAGAACTCGCAAAGGCGTCGTCGACGTGTATATCGACAACACTCAGCCTTATCCGGACGCATGCACCGCCGCAGTCCTTGCTGGTCCAGCTGGACCTTGCTTTTACTCGCTGAAAGAGGGCATGCGGTGTGTCACTACACCACTTCTCGTCGACGAGATTGCTCCAACAATTAAACAGGTCATGGGAGAGCCAATAGCAAAAACATTGGCACAGGTGTTACTGTGGGCTGCGCTGGAGACGGATTCCAGCTTTAATTATTGTCTTCTTCCGGAAAAGCTGAAAAAAAGAATTTTACGGGCTTACATTAACGCCGGTGGAAGTACGAATTTGAATCCGATTCAAAGACAAGAATTTTATGTCTTGGGGGACGGGTCTCAGCTCAATCTCGTCGTTATTGACAAAACGCAAGAAGTGGAATCTGGTGTTGGTAGTATTGTTTCTGCAAGAAGTGCATTGGTAGCGGGCTCCAATGGACAGGGGACTCAACGTGAAATTGCTGCTGTACAATCTCAAATAGCGTCTGGCCGTCGCTACATGGCAGAGGTTATGAATGAAGTACTGCGGTCCCGAAGCGAGTCACATCGAGAGATGCAAAAGATACAAGCTATCTTGAGACGGATAGCCATGCAGCCGTTCACACCTCGTACTACTGATGGGCACGGAGTACCGTATCCACCAACAAACACTGCTCAAGGTGGATTTCGTGGACAAAACGCGGCACGTCTTTCAAAGAGACCTAAAGACCTGTATGAACTTTGGCACGAGTATCAGCTCGGATCCGGTGGGCTAAAACCAGCCAAGGAGTTTACATCCATTGAGCGAGGCGCAAACAAGTTCGCCTACTCCAGGCGGAAAGTCTTCTGGGATGTTATTTCTCAATTGGTTCGCTCTGGACACACTAGCGACTCTGCAATAGATAGAGTGTATCAAACGTACGGTAGGAATCTCTCTGTGTCTAGTATTTTAGTTAAACTTCGTACAGATCGTAGACGTGGAGGACATCCAAGTCTGCGATTGTAGCACTTCAACACGGTTCAATTCAGCCAATCAAACCTTATCCTTCGAAATATTAGCCTATCAAAACTATGGTTGCAATCCAAGTTGCATAAATGACCAATATTTATACAGTACTGGACTGTACCTGTTTTTTAAATTGTCTTAAACATTTTGACAATAACTTGCAAAATATTAACTCATTACGGAACAGCTTTCTTTTTTTAAGGAGGTATTTATTAAAATAGTTTTTATTTCTATGAGCGATGTTAGGGTACCGAGTAGGTCGTACTTAAGTGGGAGTTAGGGTTACATGACGCAAGCCAATTCTAGAAAGGCACTCGTTATTTAGCCAGACTGGGTAGCAACAGACAGTACAATTACACCAGAATACAACCGATTAGCATGCCCGAATATGCCAGACTCAGGAAGAGCCGGACGTGTCATCAGTTGACGTGTGTTCGGAGTATACGTATAACCGGATGTCAGTGTGTTGGCTTTGAAACTGAAACCCGCAAGACATTCAGCATCTAACTCTCAAGACAAAGTGCAGGGGGAATAACCTGGAGGTAGTCAACGCATCAAACACACTAACAAAGGACCAAATCATTGAAAAACTAGTTGCATTAAATGCACATGCACAGGTACCGATAGCGCAAATACTGTAGCTCCTTCCGACTTAGCAGGTATAGGTTTTCAGCACCGGCAGATATCTCAAAAGCTAACAGCATATACATGCCACAATTGTAGCTATTAACCTCCACTCCAAGCTCGCTCGTGTATGGTCGAATTCGGTATTTTCTTGTAGCGAAATCTGGCAGCAATGCTACCATCTTCTCAGCGAGAGGTCGAACTTTTACGCCGTAGCTTGAGCTCATTGGATCATAGATAAAAACTTCTTTAAGCGACAGATCCATCATAACCGCACACCAGTGATTCTTGTTGCAGATGACAGGAATCAAAATCTTTTGGTTTGTCATGCCAGCAAACACGTTAGTGGCTGAGCTTACACCGGTGATGCACGATTCATCCCAACTGAGCCCGATTATGCCAGATTGGGTTTATTTCGCTACAAACCAAAACTATAGTAATCGCATACCTGTGCTGAGCATCCTTGGGCCCGTGTCTCCTGACGCGGCCGCTTGCTTGTGGCTTGCGATCGGTATGTGCCGTGGTGTGTACACACGTACGTCTTCGCGTACTGATCCCACTCGGCCGGGATTTTAGTCGCCGCGGAGCCCTGAGCATCTATCCTAGCATTCCGCACAGCCACTGAAGTGTTTGTCTCACTCGAAATATCTAGCAGACAAACAAAACGTGATGAGACGGTATAGACAAACGCAACAGATAACTTAATAATGTACCTGGAGTGACTGCGCTTGGTACAGCGCTAGATAGGCCTCGAAGTCCTTCCACGACTGAAATTGTGTCTCTTGTGGTGGCGAGGCGAGGATAGAAATCTGACCCGATTCTTCACTTGCGCTACTGGTTACCGCCTCCGCCTCAGCAGAAGTCGGGCTCGACACTGGCTGCCAGTCACTCACGGAGCCGTCGGAGTCGTTGCTGGCGCTGCCGCTGTCGATACCCTCCAGTGCCAGGGGGCGCTTCTGTGCGCTGCGTGGCCGTGGTGCCATTTTCGTGCGTTTGGAGCCACGCGTTTGCTGGAGGGGGAGGATTTTTTGTGTGGGAGGGGTATACGCAGAGTATACGCTGTACCGAGTTCGGATATGGAAGATATCAGCAAATCCTAGCAAATCCGAAGATAACACAAGATTTGCTACGAGTGGGATGCTCCCAGTCTGGCAAAATACTCACTTCCATTAAAAATTCGGTCTTGCAAAAAAACAAATCTTTAAGAATGCTGTATACTTGATTCAAGTTTGGTAGCTTTCGCGCGTCGATTGTAAACGAAGGCTGGCAAAGCAGCAACCGTTGGTGACATCGAAGCAAAAGCAGTTGTGGCCAAATGGCAGCAATCTGGTCGGTAGCTTCTCCTGGAATATCAATAATACTGGGCTGACACTGCAGTGAAGCTACGATCCGGATATCCTCCATAAATGCTTCGTAGCTGGTGAGTGGAACGTGTGCTGACGGGTTCCGGCTTGAATAATACTCATTGCTCAACAGCTGCAAAAGGTTTCGACGATCTTGCTTGCTTCCCCAATACGGATACAACTGGATAAGCTGCTCAGACGACAATGCCTTCTCCCACCGAGCAAGATCACGCAACTGGGTGCTCACGACTCGTACTTCTTCATTCAAGCGCCTTGATTCAAAGAGCACGACTAGACTGAGAGAAAAAGGTTCACTGATACCCGCTTGTCTCCAAAAGGTGACCGAGCTTCACCTCTGACTTCGCAACAGAGGATGATAAGCACCTCTCCAGATGCATTTACGTCCCTGCTTACAGCACCCCGTCCTCCTCCAGCCTTGGTTGTTGCAATAAAGGAGCTGCAATCGGGTACTTGGACGCTCGATAAGAAGTATTGGCTTGCGGTATTGCGAGTCGGACACGTCCGTGTAAAACGAGTATCTGGATAGACGCTCCTCAGTGCTCAAACAGTGCTGATGATAGAATTTCTCGCGTCTGGAAACGCGCTCACTGACAGATGTCTCGTGTTGCATCGGCGACTACTACACTCTGAATACCTAAAGGTTTTGTGACGCGGACCCACTTTGATGTAAGTGGCTTTATTAGGAGAAGACACAAGATACAAGAGTACCGATACTGCTTTAAATATCTGCTGTGACCGACACGATGACTTGATTAGTTCAGAATTGACGAAGATGACTGTGAATCTGTCGGTCTTTGCCAGTTCGCGAGCGATTTCCTTCTCTGTGAAACCAGTCTCCCCCGTATCACGCCCTCCGGATCGTAGCTGCTCCAGCAATCATTACTAACCACGACGATCTGTCCCGGGGGATCAAGTCTGAAATAGAGCTACCTCATCTTCTACCTTTGTTACCAGACCCACGGAATCTTTGGCATTGAAATGGCTTCCGCTAATAGCAAAAATAAAGCAAATACAAGTGGTGCGCCATGTACTTCAAGTTCTCTTCAAATCAGCTGTCATCTTCGTGGGCTTGGTATTACTCGCATTTTAAATGGTCGGACAATTTTGCGATCACAAAGCATTGTAACAGACGCGGGCTAATGTCGACGATCACTATCTTGAAGTTGGGCAAGAGCATCGACGTGGAGAATGCGGGAGTGCTGGCTGAGCGATGATGCGATACCGTGGAGCTTGGACGGTGGTGGGCGCGAGACGGAAGCATGCGAAGTGTGTGGTATGTGTGTGAACGACAGACTGGTATCTTGATACCGTCAATAAATCGGTAAACCACAGGCGGAAATGACGTCACAGTACATTTGTATGCGCTGAGCGCAGATGCGTTTATGGAAATATTATCTCGCTGTATCTGTCATACCTAAAATACTGCAAACAGCACAAACGTAACAGCAGAGGTGCATGAGCTCAAAAGGCAACGCAAATATACTCATGTGTGTGGACAGTCGAGAAAGAACGCTGATAGAGCTCCCAAAGCGCCGCATCATGTCGTATTTCCGAGTGGGATAACCCAGACGGGCAAGTAGAATGCAAGCGGCTTTTGCTTGCGCGCCCTGTCTCGATTCCAAGCAGACTTGCTAGCTCGTAATACCGCGTACATCGAAGCGAATGTCCATCCCCGTGTTTGCGTCTATGAGGAGACCAGATTGAAGCGAATGTATGAAATAACCGGGCGCTCTGGGTGATCATTGCAACCAGATACGCTAGAAGCTGCTCGCTATTGAGAGCTAGCAGGACGGGGGCGAGACTCTGTGTGGAGAAAATAGAAAAGGAGCGGGCACTGCCAAACCTCTCTAAAAACGAGAAGGTAACGGTCAACCTTGTGCCCGAAAACTACGCGAGTGTCGCGTGTTGCTATGGTGGCCACTCGTACAACTCTTCGTCAGACAGAGACGTTCTGTACGCCAGCGTAAAGTTACAAACGACGTCATGCACATGCTTGTACTAGCACTGATCCTCGCGGTAAAATATTGATTGCCATGGGCCGTTGCCTCCGCTCGTCGCTCTGTCCGACCCCACCTTCAATATCTAGGAAACAAGCGTGGCAGAAAGAGAGGCAAACTTAACTACGCGCTATCGGGAGAGGACGCTATGAAGAGTGACGTGCATCTTTCCGCTATGGTTCGAGCGAAGGATGAGAAGAAGAAAAGGGTCATATATTTTCACATCCCAATAGCTTGCTAGCATGTAAAAACATTTCACTGGCAACAATGAAGCTCGCTGCGGCGCAGGGTTCTGGAAAACCCCAAAACCTTGAAATATCAAGGGTATTTATTAAATAGCATGGGTGGGTGTTATAATTGGATTTTTAGCACCTATCCCTTCACCAATTCTTTTAATTGGATGCAATTACTCCATGAATTGGGCGAACAGAATGATTGGCTTGCACCGTGCAAGCCAATCATTCTGTTTTGCACGCAGCAGTAATTTTCGACTTCTTTGCGGACTCTCATTCTCCAAAACTCTCCCCTCTCCTCAAGACCTCTGAAGCCTAGTCTACGCAGCATGTCGCTACGGACCGGCGCGATTCCAGCTAGCTCGGGGAACCCTCCTGTCGTCATAGAGCAGAGGGATCTGACTGTTCGCCCCGGTCGGAAAGCAGACGCAGCCTGGAGCCATGTGGATGTGGATCCACAAGGTGGTGTCTGGTGCAAAAAGTGCAACCAGCTGCTTCAAACCACCGGTCGGAGCCACGTCGAGCGTATCAAGCATCATCTGACCAAGCGCTGCTCTGCTAAAAGGACTACAGCGCTAATTACTGATACTTTCCGACCCCGTCTGAAGAGCGACACCACCAAGCGGTTTCAAGATCGATTGGCATGGTGGGTGTACAGCACGGGTATGCCCTTCTATAGGATCGGACATATTAGCTTTCTCGAAGCACTTCAGCTACTACACCCAGACGTCAAAGTCCCAAGTCCCGAGCAGCTAGCTACAGTGTTTCTCGATCGTGCGTACAGCAAGTCAATCAAGATGCTCAAAGTCGCTCTGGATGGTAAAATTGTGACCTTGGTCACGGATGGATGGACAGACATCAATGGCCTTGCTGTTGTGAACTATGTCGTCGTTTGCGGGGAGTACACGTTTTTTTTGGAGAGCGTCTACACCGGTACTCAAGCGCACGATGCCGAGTTTTTGGCAGCGGACATTGAGCGAGTTATTGCCAAATACGATTTTCTCGAGGTCGGCGCCGTGGTGACAGATAATACTAACGCGAACAAGGCCGCTTGGGAAACTTTGCAAAACAAGTTTCCCAAAACTTTCTTCCACGGCTGCGTCTGCCACGGCCTACATTTACTAGTCAAGGACATCGTAAAAAAAGGTAAAATGGATGGATACGTTGCAGAGTGGATGTAAGGAAATGGTTACCTTCTTCAAGAAGAATCACAAAGCATGGGCAGAGCTTTCAGCACAGCTTGAAGAGAAAGATCTACAGGTTCTCGCTAAGCCAGGAGACACAAGATGGGGATCCCTGCTGAAGTGCTTCGAGACTGTACTGGCTGCAGAGGCCATACTATTCTCTCGTGTGTCAGCCCGCGGATTCCTGAAGGCAAAGACAAAAAAACAAAAAAAGACCCGCCGTGGCGTCCATACTCTAGTGACATCGGCTGAATTTGTGCCTCGCTTAAAGAAGGCTATCGCCATCCTTAAGCCAATTTCGAAGGCGCTGAAGCTGTTTGAGAAGAACGTCACACCAGTTTCGGAGGTGTACCAAGTTTTTGTCGACCTACCGAACGAGCTAAAAGCTACAGGACTCACTGCAGCCGAGTACAAGAGCGTGGATGCGCTCGTCAGCTCGCGATTTGAGTTTATCTACGGAGATGCTCACGGCATTGCGTACCTGTTAGACCCACGCTATGCTGGGATTGACATGGATTCTTCTCTTCGCAGCGCTGTCGAGGATTTTGTTGTACAATGGCATGATGAGGAGAAAGCGGACGCAGTGATCGTGGAGCTGTCAGCTTATCATCGCCATGTCCGAGATCTGAAAGTAACGCAACCACGACAATGGGGCCTACTCTGTGAGCGCAAGATCCCGCTTTTCGACTTCTGGTGTGGACTGAATAATCTTCCTTTGCTGCAGGACATAGCGCTGCGTCTGTTTCGCTGCGCGGCTTCTAGCGCTGCGTCGGAGCGCAACTTCTCGGCTCACGCCTTCATTCACTCTAGACTACGCAACCGGTTGGCGCCTGATCGGGTGGAGAAGCTAGTACATATTTTCTTCAATGCGAAGAATATTTGTGATGAAGACATTGAGCGCTACTCGCATCTGGAAGACTTACTACGGGTGTTTGTAGAGGAAGATGAGGAAGAGGACACCGGGACGAGCAACCAGAGCGAAGATTTTGTATATTGCTAAATCTATTAATAGAATGTAGTTACTGAAATATTTGTTTTCTAAATCCTTACAAACATCTAATATATGAAATTACCAAAGTTGACACTCTTAATTCACAAACTTCACAGTAGTGATTTTGCTCTGCACAGCAGGGGTGGGATGTGCAGGTCTATCGATGCAAACAGTGTTTGCGGATTGACCATTGCAGAAATGCCGTGGCTTTACGCCCCCTATACCATACTAAGCGCCCAATCAACGACTGCAGTGCACTGTACAAAAGTACGTCGGGGTTTTGATGCGATCGTTCACAGGTTCTTCGGCCCGTCGCCCCCCTGTGCTGAAGTAGGAAATTGAAGAGTGATACCTGATTGGACCTCGACCAAGTTCTGGAGCTCGAGGCGATATGCCATTTGATGGATGGACTAGAGAATGATAAATCTGGGATTGATAGAGAAGAGGGGATAGTGTTCGGGTAATGACTAAGGGGGGACTAGGAACATGATGGGTTGGATGGGTATTTTAATAATCCTCAACAAACCCTTCCTGCAAACTCTCGGGGTAGGAGAGTGGTATAAACGGTTTTTTTCCCGACCACTTTAGTCCCCAGTCCAAACCCTGTTCTGTTGCATAAGTCGGTAGCAAGACTTCAAAAGCGCGTGAATTGGTTGTGGGAGCCTGACCGCCTGACGGAAGTAAGGACCTTGCGGTAACGT